GGGGGGTCCCGACTGGCGCTCCAGCCCCAGCCCCTCCCCCAGCTCCCGCCATGGGGCTGGGGCGCTAGAGTCAGTGCCCCGCTGTGGGGAGAGGAGCACTGAGCCTCGCGGGCGGGAGTCAGGAAAGCCACGGGAGCTGCCTGGCTCTGGGGTGTGAGGGGGATGTGGGGAGGGTCCTTCTGCTTCTCAGTCAGGGGCCACTTCAGGGTGGAGTTTGGGTTTTTGTTTTCCTTTGCATCTTGCTTTTGTGGGGTCCCCAGGGCGCTAGAGTCAGTGCCCCGCTGTGGGGAGAGGAGCACTGAGCCTCGCGGGCGGGAGTCAGGAAAGCCACGGGAGCTGCCTGGCTCTGGGGTGTGAGGGGGATGTGGGGAGGGTCCTTCTGCTTCTCAGTCAGGGGCCACTTCAGGGTGGAGTTTGGGTTTTTGTTTTCCTTTGCATCTTGCTTTTGTGGGGTCCCCAGCTGCTTTTCTGTGGGTCAGTGGCGCTGGTTTGCATCTTATCCTGTAGGGGGCACTGTTGGCAGCACAGCACCCCCTAGCAGTGCGCTGGGGCACAGGAAGCTGCAGGGAGAATCACCGTGCTCGGTCCCTGATGCTGGCCCTGCAGCTCTGGCTGATCAAGTCATCGCCACAAGCTTCGGGGGGACAGAGCTGCACCCCACAGCCCCAGGACAGCTGCCTTCCCGCCCTGCCCCGCCCCACACCAGGGGGAAGCAGGGCACAAGCTCCAGGGTGGGGAAGAGACAGGCCTGGAGGTGGCACCGACCCTGGGTCTGAATGTCGGATCGCCTGACCCATCTAAGGCTGCTGTGTGCGGATCCCCATCCCGCTGCGCCGTCTCCTGTCGGTCCCCGCGGCTGCGCTGGTGCCAGATCAGCGCTCTGGGGCCCAGGTGCGGCTGCAGCTCTGTCCCCACAGAGATCTTGCTAAGTTCAAAAACGTCTGTGGACAGCCAGGCTGGGGTGGGCTGAACTCCCTCAGTGGTGCAGGTGGCTCTTTCCCCTCTTGCAAAAGCAGGATCCCAGGTTCCACGCCCTGCTCTGCAGCGGGTGGCGGGTGGCTGGTCCTCCCAGAGGGCAGGCCGATGTCCACGGGGTGAACCGCCACGCAGGCGCTCTGGTCTGTCCTGTCCCGTCTCCCATGGGACCAGGGTCTCACGCGAAACAGCGATCTAAGGATCTTTTCTCACCCCGCAGCTTCAGACGCTACGTCAGGGCAGCACCAGCCACCACTGGGGCAGCGAGCAGCAACTCAGCCACAGCCCCGTCAGCTTTGCCACAGTTGCGGGGAAGAGTCATTTTGGCCAGGGACGCCGGGTCAGACGCCTGAGTGCCGAGGGACGCTGCTGTGCCCAAGGAGCGGCCAGCTCTTCGCTGAAAGACCCAGGCAGGAGGATCACCAGTCAGTACTGCAAACCCAGACATTTGCTCTTACGGGGGTGAACCCATTTTAAGGTTACCAACACCGCTAGTGACAAACTCCACTCCATGAGGCCATCGGATCTGCGTTTTCCAGTCGGCGGAGATTCACGAGATTGCAGTTTAAACCTGTCCAGCTTCTCTTCTCCTTTGGCACCTCTCACCCGCCTTGTCTGCAAAGGAGAGAACTGGGCACAGCTCCCCTTAGCTCTCTAGATCAGTGGTTCTCAGCCGTGGGCCATATGGCTCCCCAGGGGCCACGCCCTACCTCTAGGGGGCCACATGGGAAAAACGGAACAGTAGGTAAATGATGGACCTTTTCTTCCAACTGACTGCGGCTCTGAGGGGGCCACAGAGGTAAACGAGGCTCAGAAGGGGGCCGTGAGCAAAAAAAGGTTGAGAACCACTGATCTAGATCACACTTAATGCATATTGGAGACATGAAATCTTTGGATAAGTTCTGAATCAAGTCCCGGTAAACCAGAGTCTCTCCAGCGCGCCAGAGGGCCGATAGTGCACTGAGTGGTGTAGCACCCGGCGCTCTCACGTGACTAACGGCTGACAGGTGATCTGACACTTCCCTCGGCCCATTCGCTCCTCCTCCACTCCCCGTTGACACGACACTTCCCGTGGATTCCCAGGTTGACGTCACACACAAGCATCAGCACTTCCGCCCTGTTCTTGTGGAAGTTGCCCTGGACTTCTGCGGAGCAGCTGCCATGAGACCCAAGAGCAGCTTGGTCCTTGGCTTTGAACTCCCGTCCCCTGGCAGCAGGACCAGTCAGGCTCTTGCTGGGTTGCTGCTTTTGCTTGTGTGTGTGCAGCATGCAGCGGGCCCCAGTGGGTCGTGTGGCTTTTAAAGGGAGGAGCTGAGTGAGAATTGAACCTAGACAAAGTAGCTGGGAGGCAGCCATGCTCACCACTGCCCTTGTGATGCCAGGCTCCGGCCTGCCGCCTTCCTAAACCGAGCCCGGCACCTCTCAGGGGCCATGGCTGGTCACCGAGAGTCACTGCGCGAGCCCCTGTCCCGAGGAGGAAGAGCTGAAGCCTCCAAACTTTTGAGCATTTCGGTGAGCAAAGCTCTGCCCGCCCACCTACCAGGGATTTTTCCATTGGCAAAAAATGTCACTTGCCCCTTGTTTCTCCTGGGGCAGCTCCCCTTCTCAGTGTTTACTGAGCTGGCTAGTGACCCACTCATCTTATCTGGGAATCTGGGTACTTTGATAGAAATGTGTGAGCAGATATTAGTGCAGAATCTGATAACTAAAACAAAAAACCCAACCTCACTCTTGTTCCTTCCAGGTATGAATGAAATGTGGTTTTGAGATTTTCCTGGGTTGAGTCACTTACAAAGCGTTTGTAAAATGATTCATATGGGACGTACTTATAAGAATTCTAAACTTAAATCTCAGTGCAGTTTCATGTAGTCTCCTGCAAATGTCTGTGGGAATTTGGTAAATTACCTTGTGTAGAAAATAGATCGGGGCTGGAGAAGTGTTGGGGTAAAGTTTCAGCCAGTGTGAGTCCTGGACTCCACCGTTGTGGGTGTGATTTGCTTCCATATTGTGCAGTATAGGTCAAGCGTGGCCTTGTTCTCATTCAGCATGGACCAAGGGAATTCTGGGAGATGTAGTCCCCAGAGGGCTTCTGGGAAGTGGAAGCTGCTGCAGGGCATGCTGGGAAGAAGTGCCAGACTATAAAGAGCAGGTGTCCCTCATAAGGAAGATGATCATAGACGAGGCCAGGCACACGGTCTGGCTGCTCGGCTCAGGGAGGTGAAGAAACAGCCTTGATAGGACAATGGAAAAGGGCTTGGAGGAAGCACAGAGACAGGGAGATGGAGAGCCTGTGCCAGGGGGCGGGGAGCAAATGAAGGAACATGCCTGGGACAGTGCAGTAATCACAGTTGACACCTGTGCTTGTTTAGAGGCCTTAGACTGGAACTTACAGATGTAACACGAGGAAGCCTAAGGCCACGTCTCCCCTTACCGGAAGATCAACGCTCCGGCGATCGATCTTCTGGGGTTCGATTTAGCAGGCCTAGTAAAGAGCCACTAAATTGAACGCTGAGGGTGTCCCTGTCGGCGCTGGCACCCCTTACTGTTGCGAGCGGGAAGGGAAATCAACGGGAGCATTTCTCCTATCGACCTCCCGGTGGTGACTGTGCCATGCTTGGCTTGAGGTGCATTGACTCCAGCTACATTATTTATTGCAGCCCAAAGGAGAAATTGAGGGCAAGTGAGATATGACCCACCCTTAGGAGGGGATGTCAGGTAAGCAGCTGAACTGCCCCGTAAAATGGATTGTGGGCACAAATCTGAGCAGATATATTTCTGGCCGCCTCAGAGAGGAAGGCCACTGGAGGTGTGTCTGCTCAGGTCTGCCTCCTCCAGCCCTCCAAAATGACCAACTCTGGAGATGCAAATTGTACTAGTAGAAATGTAAATGTTTGTAGGCAAATTCCCCTCCATTTCTTACTGGTATCTGCTGCCTCTTTGTTCGGTGTCTTGAGTCAAATGGTGTTCTTGCTCCCTGCTCTGTAACTGAAACTCCTAAAAACAAAGAGCTCAAGGTGGTGTCATGTTGGGCCTTTGAGTGCTGCCGTGAACCTCTGCATGAACCTGCTCAGCATTTGCTGCTGCTTTTCCCAGTTACTCATATGAGAGGTTGCAGAAAACAGAGGAAAAGGTCACAGTCAAATCAAATTCAGAGCTTTTATTCTACTGCTTGCAAGTGGCACTTTACTCTGTGTTCTCAGCTTGTGTCCATAGCCTGTTCCCAGTGGGCCCAAAGTGCACAAATGCCCACTGGGCACCGTTCTGCATAATAGATGAACATAAAGGTGCTTGCCCAGCGCATGATATACGGGACCTCTCCAGCAGGTGGTCTAGCAGGTGGAGCTTGGTGCCATGAAGACAGGGGACTGGACTCGATGACCTCTTGAGGTTCCTTCCGGTTCTAGGGTTCTAGGGTTCAGTGGTGGGACTTCTTCCAGAAGCCAGAAGAGAGTTCTGAAGCTGCTTGGTCTGAAGATGTTCTCAATACCAGGGAATAAGGGGTCTGGCAAAAGACGGGCTGAAAACTGACGGAACAGACTTGAGCTGTCTGCTCAGACAGTAGATTTCCAAAGGGACCCGCATCTCCAGCTGAAATTTTTTAGGGGTCCACCAATGTCAAACGGTTGAAAACCATTGCTCTGAACAGCTGTTTGTGTGCCGTGACCACTGCCCGGTCTCTGGCTGGCAGGTAACAAACAGCCTTTGGAGCTTGCCATAGTAAGGTGAGGCGATCTCCAACACTGCCCTGGACCGAGCTCTTGGGTGACTGGCCTAAGACCGAACCAAGACTTTTACCAGCAGAATCAAGCACTGGTGTGGTGCGCGTAGCTCCGTGCTGTCCAACCAGTTCTGAAGCAAACTAGCCACACTCAAGCGGCCAAACAGCCACGTGTGGCTAGTGGCTAGTGTGTTGGAAACCACGGGTTTAGCTAGTGCCTCCCCTCCGACTAGCTCAGACTTGACAAGCTCTGAGTAAGGAAGCGTTGCGGTGTCCTGCACGGGGCAGGAGTCCAGAGAGAGTCCAGGCTACTGAGAGGTGACGTGACTGGCTGAAGGACACACACTGGGCCCATGGCAGAACCAGGCTTTGACCCAATAAGCAGCTGTCTAGTTCTCTGCTCCAGCGAGCAGCCTCCCGTGTGCACAGAAAACAGCCCTGCGACGAAGGGAAGATGCTTCTTAAGGCTGAAGCGAACTGTCACTCACTCTTCCTTTGAACTCCCTCCTGTCCTACCTGTCCCAGGATCTCTGGGGTCTAGAAATGAGTCCGCACTCCACACATCCAGTGTCCTTAATTGGCTTGCTTGCCTGGCTTTGCTGGTTGACACTCAGTAGCTAAATCAGAAGGGGCAGTGGGTAGGAGCCAGCCACAGCTGCATTCCACGAATAATTCACGTTAGTTTCTCGGTCCTTGTTAACACTCTAGGGATGGTCACAGGAGAGAAATAAAGTTATAGCTCCTTGGGCAAAAGGTGTCTTCAGATAAGCCTGGAGTGGAGCAAGATCAAACCAAGGAGACATCCCAGGGAGTGAAAGACCTGGCTCCCGGACTGAGCGTGGCACGTTTGTGGGGGGTGGGATGCTGGGGTGCCTGCGGTGCACGCAGAGGTCTGCGAGGGATAGCAGTTCATATCTCCAGCGAGCTCTGAGTTACTCCAGAGAATTCTGTCGCAGGCGTCTGGCTGGGGGGTCTTGCCTGCATATGAGGGTCTAACGTCACCATATTTGGGTCAGGAGCAAATTTCCCCCCAGCTCAGATTGGCAGGGAGCCTGTGGGGGGGGGATTTGCCTTCCTCTCGCACGGGGCACAGGGCACGTGCAGGGTCACGCTGGGGTACACGATGGAGTCTCTGAGGACGCCAGTGTCTCAGCCAGAGGTTCCGGGTCTGTGACAGGCTGGTGGCCTGCGATGGGCAGGAGGGCAGATTAGGGGATCATCATGCTCGGGCCTGCTGACAGGGTGGGGGCAGAGGGCTGGTGCCCTGGGGCCTGGTGATTCTAAAGGGTCCAGGGCTCCCGGCCACTGTCATGGCCACGGGCAGCTGGAGCCCCGGCCCTTTAGCATTTCCGTGGGCACGGTGACTGCAGAACCACGTGCCACGCGGCCTGGCCGGCAGGGGAGGGGGCACCGTGCCGTGCAGGTGGCATTAGGGGCTGCCAGCCCCAGCCCCGCCCTTCTGGGAGCATGGAGCTGCCCCCCCCCACATTGCCCAGGGGCCCGGTGATCCCGCAGGTCCCCCCATCCCTTCTGGCCTGACAGCGGATGGTCTTTGTACCCGGAAGGGGGCTACTGGAAACCCTGGACTGCTGCTCCCCAGGAGCCGTGGAGGGGGGAGCTCAGACCCGTGGCCAGTCAGTGCCCACAGCTCTTCTGGCTTCTGGCGCTTTGTGGAGTCAGGCCGTGCCACCCTTCTCTGCCTGGTGCTCACGGGGTCAGCGCGTGACCCTGGGCCAGCTGTCCAAAGCGACCCCCCGCTGGGCAGCCTGAGCTGCCCCACTCCTAGAGGGTCCATGGTGCAGCGGCCCTCCAGCCCCACCTCTCGTGCAGCCGGGGGACACTGCCTCCCACCGGAAACGGAGCAAAGTCTGGCTGGGGAGGCCTGCATCAGTGCGTCTCCTGATCCCCTCCTCAGAGAGAGGAAAAGGATCACACTGGCGAGTGCCCGGATCCTCCCCTCCCCCGGCTCCCACCCACAGTCGCCCTTTCCCCCCCTTGCCAAGAGGCAAGAACCGGCCGTTCAGTCCCAGTTCGGGCTAATCACGTGAATGAAATCCTTGGGTCCCCTGCCTGGCACCCCCTCTTTTCACAGCGCAAGGTACAAGCCTGTGGTTTGAAGCCTGTTTCATTAGAGGGGAAGAGCCAGTGACGTAAGGTAGCAAAAATCAACAAAGTCCCCCCGTCTCCGGGCTGTTTGCTGCTTGTCTCTGCAGCGGGCCACCCGCCGTCGTGGGATCCTGGGGGTGTAAATCAGCGTCTCTCCGTGGCCTGCAGGGGGGCTGTGCGGCCTCCCAACAACAGAGGCTCTGCCCAGAGAATTCAGACACGAAACTCGCCGGTACCGGCATCGGAGCCGTTAACTCAGACGGCAGCAGGGCCGGGGGCTGCCCATCAGAGGCACGTGCTCCCCCTCCCGGGA